CTTCTCCAGGCCGAGGGACTGACAACCTCAAATTCTACGACTTTAAGGGGTGATGGACTGATAACATCGCTTCACATCTCTACTGTTCCTGCCTACTTTCTGTATTCGACTGAAGAAGCCTACTGTGTGGGCGAAACGTTTCGGAATAAAGTTGTCTAACTGTTGCATATGTGTTCTTACCTAACAACCTGTCGGTATTGTATACCATTTTGATGTTCATCTTGTCAGACACTGAAAACACGTGGCATCTTGGTACAGAAAACACCTTGGACAAGCTTTTCAAGTGAGAAGGGTTGGATCTGGAGGGACATGACCTCTGTTGCCTCTCACTATACTACTAATACTACTACTACTACTACTAGTACCCTGCACCTCTCCTTCCGACAGTATTTAAGTCTCCGCACTGTCGCTGATCTTCAGTTAGTTCCTGACTATGGAACTAACTTCTCCGGGCCCGAGGGACTGAAACCTCAAATTCTACGACTTTAAGGTGATGGACTGATTACATCGTCTTCACACCCTCTACTTTTCCTGCCTACTTTCTGTATTCGACTGAAGAAGCCTACTGGTAGGCAAAAACGTTTCGGAATAAAGTTGTCTAACTGTTGCAATGTGTCTTACCTAACAACCTGTCGGTATTGTATACCATTTTGATGTTCATCTTGTCAGACACTGCAACACGTGGCATTTTGGGTACAGAAAACACCTTGGACAAGCTTTTCAAGTGAGAAGGGTTGGATCTGAGAGGGACATGACTCTCAGTTGCCTCTCATACTACTATACTACTACTACTACTACACTAGTACCCTGCACCTCTCCTTCCGACAGTATTTAAGTCTCCGCACTGTCGCTTGATCTTCAGATATTTTTCCTGACTATGGAACTGAACTTCTCCAGGCCGAGGGACTGATAACCTCAAATTCTACGACTTTAAGGGTGATGGACTGATTAATCGTCTTAAACATCTCTACTTTTCCTGCCTACTTCTGTATTCGACTGAAGAAGCCTACTGTGTAGGCGAAACGTTTCGGAATAAAGTTGTCTACTGTTGCTTATGTGTCTTCCCTTAACAACCTGTCGGTATTGTAACCATTTTGATGTTCATCTTGTCAGACACTGCAACACGTGGCATCTTGGTACAGAAAACACCTTGGACAAGCTTTTCAAGTGAGAAGGGTTGATCTGAGAGGGACATGACCTCTCATTTTGCCTCTCACTACTACTACTACTACTATACTACTACTATTTACCCTGCACCTCTCCTTCCGACAGTTTTTAAAGTCCCGCCTGTCGCTTGATCTTCAGATAGTTCCTGACTATGGAACTGAACTTCTCCAGGCCGAGGGACTGACAACCTCAAATTCTACGACTTTAAGGGTGATGGACTGATTACATCGTCTTCACATCTCTACTGTTCCTGCCTACTTTCTGTATTCGACTGAAGAAGCCTACTGTGTAGGCGAAACGTTTCGGAATAAAGTTGTCTAACTGTTGCATATGTGTCTTACCTAACAACCTGTCGGTATTGTATACCATTTTGATGTTCAAAAAAAAAATTATTTTAATATTTTTGGGTGTCTGGAACGGATTAATTTTATTTCCATTATTTCTTATGGGGAAAATGGTTTCGAGTTTCGTGAATTTCGACGTTTGGCAGGCTCTCTGGAATGGATTAATCACGAAACTCGGGGGCCCACTGTACATACCAACCTTCATGTAAAATTTTATTGAAATTGGAGATGGTCAGATGGGGATGATTTTCAAAATTGGTTCACTTGGCATGGAATGACTTTATTGTATCTTCTCTTCGTATGTTTGATTACTATCCTTTGTGATTTTTATTTTATAATTCTCTATTTAATCTTAATAGTCGGACTTGGAGTCTTGGATGTATGAGGTATAATGCCTGCACTACTAAGGAGAGGTTGGAGGGGATATAGTTCAAGAGGGTCATTTGAATTGTAATGTATGTGCACCTCTGGCAAGACAGGCATTGACTGAATAATGTGTTCCCTTATTTGAGTCAGTCTTCCTTGATGGGAGATTGCTGGCATGTTAAAAAAAACTTGTTACTCTTCTCCCCTGCTCAGTTAGCTACTTTAGGGCTTTCTTGCTTTAATTCCGAAGAATTACTCTTATGATAATTTTTTCATCTTTTCACCTGCTTATGTAATGTTCTTTCACAAGAAAGAATAGTATTTTATATTATTATCACACTGGCCGATTCCCACCAAGGCAGGGTGGCCCGAAAAAGAAAAACTTTCACCATCATTCACTCCATCACTGTCTTGCCAGAAGGGTGCTTTACACTACAGTTCTTAAACGGCAACATTAACACCCCTCCTTCAGAGTGCAGGCACTGTACTTCCCATCTCCAGGACTCAAGTCCGGCCTGCCGGTTTCCCTGAACCCCTTCATAAATATTACTTTGCTCACACTCCAACAGCACGTCAAGTATTAAAAACCATTTGTCTCCAATCACTCCTATCAAACACGCTCACGCATACCTGCTGGAAGTCCAAGCCCCTCACACACAAAACCTCCTTTACCCCTCCCTCCAACCTTTTCTAGGCCGACCCCTACCCGCCTTCCTTCCACTACAGACTGATACACTCTTGAAGTCACTCTGTTTCGCTCCATTCTCTCTACATGTCCGAACCACCTCAACAACCCTTCCTCAGCCCTCGGACAACAGTTTTGGTAATCCCGCACCTCCTCCTAACTTCCAAACTACGAATTCTCTGCATTATATTCACACCACACATTGCCCTCAGTCGTGACATCTCCACTGCCTCCAGCCTTCTCCTTGCTGCAACATTCATCGCCCATGCTTCACACCCATATAAGAGCGTTGGTAAAACTATACTCTCATACATTCCCCTCTTTGCCTCCAAGGACAAAGTTCTTTGTCTCCACAGACTCCTAAGTGCACCACTCACCCTTTTTCCCTCATCAATTCTATGATTCACCTCATCTTTCATAGACCCATCCGCTGACACGTCCACTCCCAAATATCTGAATACATTCACCTCCTCCATACTCTCTCCCTCCAATCTGATATCCAATCTTTCATCACCTAATCTTTTTGTTATCCTCATAACCTTACGCTTTCCTGTATTCACTTTTAATTTTCTTCTTTTGCACACCCTACCAAATTCATCCACCAATCTCTGCAACTTCTCTTCAGAATCTCCCAAGAGCACAGTGTCATCAGCAAAGAGCAACTGTGACAACTCCCACTTTGTGTGTGATTATCTTTTAACTCCACGCCTCTTGCCAAGACCCTCACATTTACTTCTCTTACAACCCCATCTATAAATATATTAAACAACCACGGTGACATCACACATCCTTGTCTAAGGCCTACTTTTACTGGGAAATAATTTCCCTCTTTCCTACATACTCTAACTTGAGCCTCACTATCCTCGTAAAAACTCTTCACTGCTTTCAGTAACCTACCTCCTACACCATACACCTGTAACATCTGCCACATTACCCCCCTATCCACCCTGTCATATGCCTTTTCCAAATCCATAAATGCCACAAAGACCTCTTTAGCCTTATCTAAATACTGTTCACTTATATATTTCACTGTAAACACCTGGCCCACACACCCCCTACCTTTCCTAAAGCCTCCTTGTTCATCTGCTATCCTATTCTCCGTCTTACTCTTAATTCTTTCAATAATAACTCTACCATACACTCCAAAACTATATCCCCACCTGCTTTTAACATTTCTATCTTTATCCCATCAATCCCGGCTGCCTTACCTCCTTTCATTTTACCTACTGCTTCACGAACTTCCCCCACACTCACAACTGGCTCTTCCTCACTCCTACAAGATGTTATTCCTCCTTGCCCCATACACGAAATCACAGCTTCCCTATCTTCATCAACATTTAACAATTCCTCAAAATATTCCCTCCATCTTCCCAATACCTCTGACTCTCCATTTAATAACTCTCCTCTCCTATTTTTAACTGATAAATCCATTTGGTCTCTAGGCTTCCTTAACTTGTTAATCTCACTCCAAAACTTTTTCTTATTTTTAACAAAATTTGTTGATAACATCTTACCCACTCTCTCATTTGCTCTCTTTTTACATTGCTTCACCCCCTCTCTTTAACCTCTCTCTTTTTCTCCATATACTCTTCCCTCCATGCATCACTTCTACTTTGTAAAAACTTCTCATATGCTAACTTTTTCTCCCTTACTACTCTCTTTACATCATCATTCCACCAATCACTCCTCTTCCTCCTGCACCACTTTCCTGTAACCACAAACTTCTGCTGAACACTCTAACACTACATTTTTAAACCTACCCCATACCTCTTCGACCCCATTGCCTATGCTCTCATTAGCCCATCTATCCTCCAATAGCTGTTTATATCTTACCCTAACTGCCTCCTCTTTTAGTTTATAAACCTTCACCTCTCTCTTCCCTGATGCTTCTATTCTCCTTGTATCCCATCTACCTTTTACTCTCAGTGTAGCTACAACTAGAAATAGTATAAGCTCTAAACCCATCATTCATGCTGGGTTTAGAGCTTATACTGTTCATACTATACAGCATTCATGCTGGGTTTAGAATTTTTTCATATTTATTATATATTTTTTTATTATCACTCTGGCCGATTCCCACCAAGGCAGGGTGGCCTGAAAAAGAAAAACTTTCACCATCATTCACTCCATCACTGTCTTGCCAGAAGGGTGCTTTACACTACTGTTTTTAAACTGCAATATTAACACTCCTCCTTCAGAGTGCAGGCACTGTACTTCCCATCTCCAGGACTCAAGTCCTGAATTAACAAAAGGCATGAATATTCTTTTAAAAAGTCTTATCACTGTTCTGTATTAGTTTAAAAAAAACAGTTCCTATTCTTCCTTTACTTAGTTGAGAGAGATGCAGATCTTATTGTAAATGTACTTTGTTGCTTGCAAATTATTAAAAAGGCATAGTTTTGCATGTTAATCTGTGCACGTGTATACTCATGGAACAGGTACTACGAGGCAGTTACCTGTATACCTTTGGTGATCATGGAGGAATCATCGTGGCAGTGCAACTGTATAAAGTAGATGGTGAGACAAATGAAATCCAGTATTCGACAGATGAGGGAGAGACTTGGCAGACATACAAGATTTACCAGGAGGTTAGTGTGATGAGTTACATATTTACTTTTTATAATATGTATGTATTTAATCACTTAATTATTTGGTAGGAAAATACGGAAATTCTATTTATCAGTGATCTTCAAATATTTTCATGCGAGGTCAGCTCTGTAGCTTCGTAATATTTGAAGGTTTAATCCTTAATTTAGACACAGCTTGCATATTTTGCTGTGTGGGCAGCTGGTTACTGCATAGTAAATCTTACCTGGGCATTTACTACTCTAGTTAACCTTCATTTTTTAAATGAGATGTAAATCCTAGCTCTGGTAATCCAGTGGATTCTTAACCAATGAACAAGTCAGTATTGAATTAAAACTCGTGTAAGGAGACTGTTACTTCCTACAGATAAACTCACACCACCACAATATAGATTAAGAAATGAAGCTCTTGTGTAGCAAATTTTATCTGGCCAGAAAAATAGGGAAGAAGTGAATGGAAAAATAGAGATAGGCAAAAATTCTTGAAGCTGAGAATATTTAAAAAATGCCAGTGAGATAAAAATAAAATATTTTGTAATACATATAAAGTTATCAGTACACTGGAAAGTGCCCGGTGAATGTTGTCAAGTTGTTCCTGATCCCATAAATAGTTGCCAAAAAGTGGAAAAGATACCATGGAAGAAAGAACGTCAGCACTAAGGGGGTTCAATCACTGACTTGGGAGAAAGTAAGGTGTAAGAGCTGAAAAACAGTGCTTCAGGCAGTATTATACACACTTTAAAATGGTGTTGGGGAGAAACCTTTGTATGTGGGATTTATAAAATCGTTGAAAGACAAGTTTGTTGTAAGTTTAACTATACCTTTTTCTTTATTTTTCATGTGAATTACCTGAAATTTTGGTCATGTCATATACATGGCAAGTCACATCAGTTTAATTTTCAAAGGCAGTGATAAAATTTTCATTAAACTGAGTATTTGACTAGCTAAACCCCTGAGGCTGTGGGTTATGGAAGACCTTACCAGCTCTCTGGTTATTTTAATTTTTATGAAATACAGCAAAGCCTCGATTAGTATGAATAATGTATCCCATTACATTATCACATTAGTATTAATTTATACTATTCATACACAAAGTATGGTAATTGTCCCCACCCCATTGAAAATACAGTATGCAGGAGGAAAGAGGAGTGATAAAAGAGAAAAAGGTAGCTTATGAGAGGTTTTTTACAAAGCAGAAATGTTATAAGAGCAGAGTATATGGAGAGTAAAAGAAAAGTGAAGAGAGTGGGTGAGAGAGTGCAAAAGGAGAGTAGATGATAGAGTGGGAGAGGCACTGTCAAGAAATTTTATTGAAAACAAAAACAAATTTTGGAGTGAGATAAACAAGTTAAGAAAGCCTAGAGAACGGATAGATTTGTCAGTTAAAAACAGAGTAATGGAGTTAGTAGATTGGGAGCTGGAGGTATTGGGTAGATGGCAGGAATATTTTGAGGAACTTGTAAATGCCAATGAGGAAAGGAAGGCAGTCATTTCATGCACTGGCCATGGAGGTATGACATCTTTTAAGAGTGAACAAGAGCAGGATGCGAGTGTGGGGGAGGTATATGAGGCATTACATAGAATGAAAGGGGGTAAAGCAGCAGGAACTGATGGGATCATGACAGAAATGTTAAAAGCAGGGTGGGATATGATGTTGGAGTGGTTGATATTTTTGTTTAATAAATATATGAGAGAGGGGAAGGTACCTAGGGATTGGCAGAGAGCATGTATAGTTCCTTTATATAAAGGGAAGGGGGACAAAAGAGATTGTAAAAATTATAGGGGAATAAGTTTACTGAGTATAACTGGACAAGTACAGTAGGGCCCCACTTATACGGCGGGTTAGGTTCCAGGCTGTCGCCGGAAAGCAGACATCCCCGGAAGGCAGAACTCCATTTTTTTCCATTTATAAATGCATATAAATGCCAGACAACAAGTTTACACTAAATTATATTAAGTTAGTAATAGAACTAGGCATTAAAAACACACAAAGTAAAATACATCACAGTAAATTCATTACTTATCTTAAAGTATTTGTAATCTTAATGTGGGGAGAGGTGAGTAGTACTTATTTGTAGGAAGTCAGGTGCAGGTAGCCCAGGTGTAGGTAGCACTGGCTCCCCGTCTCATACTTAATATACGATATTTAAAATATCCCAGAGAGGTAAAATGCACATACAGTACACTCATTATTTACCTTAAAATATGTGTAGTCTTAATATAGGAAGAGAGGTGAGTAGTATTTATTTGTATAAAGTCAGTGTAGGTAGCCGGTAGGTGTAGCCTGGGCTACACCTACTGGCTACCTACACTGTGGCCCAGAGCCATATTATTAACATCGACATGCCTTGTTCACTGAATTTAATCATTTCTAACAACTACCTTTAGATGCCATCATAAACGAAGGTAGAAGTAATGAATAATTCATGCCGAAAAATTGTAAACAAAAGCGGAGTTGGGGATGGCTGGGCCAAAACGCAGATTCATACATGTTTTCTCTGATGGCTGAACAGAGAAAACGTAATGTTGTCCCTCCACCCCGGGTCCACAAGTATTATTATCAGAGCATATAAAATATGCAATAAATGCCAGACAACAAGTTTACACTAACTTATATTAAGTTAGCAATAGAAATAGGCATTAAAAACACAATAAGAGGTAAGATACACACAGAGTACACTTATTACTTACCTTAAAATATTAATATTAATGTGTGAGAGGTGAGTGGCAGGGTGTTTATTGAATAAAATCAGAATGGCACACCATCATCCTCTAACTTGGCACTTAAAGCAAGAGGCTTACGACTTCTCTTTTTATTACAGCTAGCCTTAGACGCCATTGTCAGTGAGAGCCAACTAGTTAACGAAAGAGTAAACGAGAGAGAGAACGAGATACAGAGTTGAGACAATGTAAGAACACAAACTGAACAGATAGTGGACGATCGCTTGGTCAGGCGAAATAAATGCGTATTAATATGTGTCTACTTTTAGTTCATTCAAGTCCATTTGTAAGAGTTTGTAAAACATTTACCTCAATATTTTTTTACTTTAATAATAATTACCTCACAATACAAATACTCTTACATTGTGTACAAGTTGTACAAGTTAGTTCAGAAGAAACAAACAGCAACACACCATTTTTAGAGTGAATGAAGATAATAATATTAATAATAATAATAATAATAATAATAATATTGTAATAAAGTTGGTAGAATTACCGACAGTATGTAAAGTAAAAGGACACAAGTGCAACTAATGTGACATTTATTGTGGCAACGTTTCGCTCTCCAGGAGCTTTATCAAGCCATTACAAACAATACATGGACACAGAGGGTATATAAAGGCTCAGAGTGAGGTGTAATACTAGTGAGGTACCATTTCGATGTTCACTAGTGGTGGTAGTAGTAGTAGTAGTAGTAGTGGTAGTGACAAAAGTAATACAATATTTTCCGCAGACGCAAGTGCCTCGAATCAGCACTGATCGCTGTTTCGAATACAATTAAACAAAACAACGGCAGCTTCACCATCTCCGAAGTCTTAGCAAGAATCCTCCTGAAAACAGTAAACCCTGCCATCACATAGTCTCTCCTGTTATACTACACAAAGCACAGAGAGTGAACACTGAAACAAGCTGCCTCATTCCAGTCTATATTTGTCCAACCTATTTTTATGTTACCCAAGTAATAGCTTTTATATCCTTTTACTCATGTACGAATTAATTGCTCTACCATATTGTATTACTTTTGTCACTACCACTACTACTACTACTACTACTACCACTAGTGAACATCGAAATGGTACCTCACTAGTATTACACCTCACTCTGAGCCTTTATATACCCTCTGTGTCCATGTATTGTTTGTAATGGCTTGATAAAGCCCCTGGAGAGCAAAACGTTGCCACAATAAATGTCACATTAGTTGCACTTGTGTCCTTTTACAATAATAATATTAGTATTAATATTAATAATAATAATAATAATAATAATAATTATTATTATTATTATTATTATTATTTATTATAAAAAGCACTAAACCCACAAGGGTCGTGATGAATTGCTATACATAGAGTAAAGGCATACAAAAAGAATATTTTTCTACGGTTACCCCCCAGTGTTTGACTAGAGAAAACGTAATTCTTCCGACACTACCTACACAGCTGCTTTGTAAACATATCTCATATTTACATCAATTTTTATTCTGAGTGTATGTATCATGTTTATATGCTATGTAATGGGTTTCATATATAATTTTGAGGAAAATATCATAGAGGGATTAATGAAAATGCCTATATTGATGTAAAATAAGACATTTAGTGTGCCCAAGAGTGATTATTATTACGTAGTATTGGCGTCATGAGTAGAGAGAGACTTAGCGATTTTAATGTGTACCTGCACACCAGCACAGTGTGTAAGTATATTTAGGTACAGGTACACATAAGTATAATTATCAGAGTACATATAAAATATGCAGTAACTTTAAAACACTTGAAATTTTGGAAAGTCTCCTGACATAATAGATGTGGTCACGGAAAATGTAAACAAACCGGGTGGGGGCGCTGTATTTAAAAAACCGCTTGCCGTATAGCAAATTTTGGTCATAATTTGACATCGCCGTTTTAGCGGAACTCCGTAAGGCGAAACGCCATAAAGCGGTGCCTTACTGTATACGGTAAGGTTATTATTGAAAGAATTAGAGGTAAGACAGAGAGTAGGATTGCGGATGAGCAAGGAGGCTTTAGAGTGGGTTGGGGATGTGTAGATAGTACTTACATTGAAGCACATATGTGAACAGTATTTAGATAAAAGTAGGGAAGTTTTCATTGCATTTATGGATTTAGAAAAGGCATATGATAGTGGATAGGGGAGCAGTGTGGCAGATGTTGCAAGTATATGGAATAGGTAGTAAGTTACTAAATGCTGTAAAGAGTTTTATGAGGATAGGCTCAAGTTAAGGTGTGTAGAAGAGAGAGATTACTTCCCGGTAAAAGGAGGTCTTAGATGGG